ATTACAGTTTTAGTGAAAGCCCTAGAAAATGGCGTGAGCAAAATTTCTGTAAACATTAATACAGCCAACACCTAATTCTTAGAAAAACATCTACTCTATCTTTATCAACAGTGTACTTTCACTCTAATGAAAATGCCATACATGAAACTTCTCATCTACAAAACAAGACTGTCTTTGCAACTCTAAGAAATCTTTGTGTATAACACTTTAATTACCACAGCTCCTACTAACCACATTCTGTTACTGCTGATTTGAGTCTGTTGAGCATTTTGTTTACAGTGTTTAATGTGTGGTAAAAGAGGAGTTAAAATGAACACTGATTTTTTCATAGAGAGAGAAATAAACTACAGCAAGACATTTCTACTCTCGAAATCTGGAAGGTCATTTCAATATATTTTAAGAACCACAAACTGAAGAGGTGTAGTTATTTCAACAGATAGATTCTATTTTAACATTTTCTCTTTGGCTGAGGGCCATATCTTGACTACAGAATACGCAGAAAAAGAGAGAGAGGAAAAAAAGAACAACACTGAAAACACTAGATGATTTATAATTTATATAAGACTGTGAAAAGGTTCAACTTCATATGCTCATGTGTTAGGTGAACTTGGTTTGTAGGGGATGCTCTCGAATACGAAGCACTGCAAGTTTTAGTCTAAAGCAAAGAAAAGCTGGTTCTACCAGTCCTTCCACACCCGTGACCTAAGTTGCATCCATTTGTGGAAAGAATTAGCCGAGGTATATTGCCTAAGCAAGTAAGCTGAGCTTTTTCTTTAACTAATAAATGGAATACTTCAACTAAACTGACATAACTTTTTAAAGATTGAGAAAGAGGTCATAGCTTTTTAGAATATTTCCTACAACATTGATTGAATCCTGTGTAAGGTGACTGAATCTTTGGTGTAAACATTAGCTAGTGTCTTTTCATCGACTTACTAGCTTTTATTCTTATTTAGGGACCCTACTACAACTGAACAACTTTTGAATATATCCCCATATATTTAGTACATTCCTCGACTTTACTTGAGAAATACGTTGCTTTATTGTAGGGATCAATTTTAAACATTAAAGACCTGTACTTGTTGCCTAATTTTGCTTTTGTAATAAGTTTACTTAGTACATATTTTCCAAAGCAGCCTACTTGATACGACCTCATGAGACACGGAAAGGTACCTGAACCTTGGTACTCAAGTTCCAAGACCAGGAAGAAGAAAGGAAGCAATACAACCCTACTGTATTCAAACATGATTATTATTCATGCCCTAGTGAACTGAGTTAATGGTTCCAGGAATAGCTTTTTATATTTGTGACAATTACAAGGAAAGTAAGATCAATGGTCAGTTTGATGAAGCTGGGGTACATAAAGGTTTAGAAGGTTGCCTTGCAGGAATTTTGGATACCACTTATCTTTGCAGTACAGGTTTGGTGTAAAAACCCATGTCAGCCATATTTACAGTTGGTATGATGCAAAGAACTACAATTTGTATATGAAAGTGTGTGTCTGTCATAGAGATCACTTATAAGGAGTGTAAACAATTCCAAAAAGAAAGTGGCTGAACAGCACATGTTATGAAAAAGTGCTAAGAACATATTAAAGACTGAATTCAATCAATTGTGATGAATCCAGAGATGGCATATGCTAAGAAGGTGAGGCTCTTAACCTGAATGGTATCACAAACCATACTCAACAACTTTTTTAATAGAGATTTTCTTGATCTGATCAGAGATCCAGCTTTCTTTACAGTTCATGGGAAAACTGGTGATCATCTAATAGTCTGATCATTTATGGCTATACTGAACACAAAGCTTAATGTCAACACACACACACGAAAACAACTCCTTAAGCATTTCTTCTGTTTAATACATTTCTCTGATGAGAGAATAAAAGATATTGCAGCATCATTGTCCCTTACTCAGCTTCTTCTTGTGCTTACAAAATCATTCTAAAAGAAGAGATTTCTGTTGGTGATAGATCAACAGACATTTTGGATCTTACAAGCAAATGAAGAACTAATAATAACGAGGGTCTACATTTCCAGTATTTCATGTGATCCTCTCAATTACCAGTTTGGGCAAGAATTTAGTCTGAGAGACTAAATTCATATATAAACATATAGAACAGTTCTGGGGTGAATGAATACAGCTCAGGATAGGCATTTTTTTCTCTGATGGTATATTAGGGGAATCACCTAATCTTTGTGCTTAACTGCCATTCCCTCACTGTGGAGAGATTTAACCTCTGTAACTGGCAGGCTAAAAGAAAAGGTATGTATTATTTAGTTATCAGTGAGTATCTAGAAACAATGAAGAGATCTACAGACATTTCTAATGAGTATCTTGAAAATACCAAAACTACCTAGCCAAATTTAAACTGATGGGTTTTTTAATCTTCATTGCTTCTCTCCTGCTCTTGTGAAAAAAAAAAAAGAATATAAAAATATTCTAAATGTAAGCAAGTTCAGATCAATACAATTTATCACATTACACTTAAATTTTAAAAATAGCTTCTAAAGCACCAGGATTGAAAGAAGAACTCAAGGTTGTAACACCCTTTCATTGCTCAGCAGGAGAAAATGGAGGCTTTTTTCTTGGCCTTCATACATACATTTCACTATTCTTACCAGAGTTTTCTGGATACAATCTTTATAAATCCATTACAAACTTGGAGCTTAAATACCAAAACCACTTCTGATTTCTCTACCCTACATGGAATCAATTAGAACTGGAAAAGGCTCTGGTTTTAACTCCATCCTTCCTTTTTCTTGCCAGTTCTTCTTCTGAGAACACAGATACAGAAAATTCATTTTTGAAATATAAGATTTTTTGATTTGAGTGGTACTCTCATTTTCCTTTAATACTGCTATGGAGTATGTTGGAGTCTGCCTGTCTGAAAGATCCATTTTCCTACATTATAGAGAATCTAATGCTTTCTTAAAGAATGCTTATAGGTGAGGCTGCTAGTACAAATAATCCTTCTTCAAAATATCTAGGCAAACAGCATAGAATTCTAATAACTGGCAGTATGTAAATATACTGTGGTACATTTACAAATGATTAATTCTTAATTAGCTATCAGGTATGCAAAAGCTCACCTTGCATAATAAGGTCATTTTCATGAGCCATACTATTTTCTCCCCAAACTGTACATTCACATGTATACCTTCTATAATTAAATATCCTGTATATATCTACACGGACATGCATTGAAAGAACTTAAACAAATGCCTGTTTCCCTAGAAGCTTCCTATGTAACACTATCTAGAATGGAATTTGCATTAAGGCCAAGGCTTGGACTGAAGCAGTTGCTGCTGATTTTCTTCTTCTCTTATCTGATTCTAAGAAGAAAAAAAAATCAGCTTAGATTTTTTTTTCACTAAGCCTAAGAATGCTGTATCTAGATCAAATAAACTCTGACCCTTGAATAGTGGAGTTGTGGGACTCAGTTTGAAAGCAAAGTCAGCAGGACAAAGTTTAATCTACAATACATTACCAGACACTACATGGAAGAATTGAGTGCTAATATAATATTCTAATTAAATTACATATTGAGACTAATGAAGTTTTTAACTGTTAGGTTCTCTTTGACTACAAACTCTTTTTAAAAGTTATTGAAAAAAATTCCATTAAATCGAAAGATGAAATACAACTACCACACATTCCTTTTAAAGGTAACAGGCAGAAGCATCATGACTTGAGGCATGAAGGATTGCTTTAACTCCACATTTCATTGCTTTATGGGTGTTTCTCACTGCTGAATCCATTCAAAGATGCACTTGGATGCCATATTTCTTGTATCTCTGTGTACTTGCTTTCTGGAAGTGTTCAAAACCACTACCATTCTTTGCACTCTACTACTGCTAAAGTACCAATAGTGCTACTGCTCTGTACTAATTCCTACCCTTCAGTTTCACATACAATTTTTCCATGGAATTGTGCAGACCAAACTAAGGCTTACCCATCAGTGATACTCACTGCAAAGGCAAATGCAGCTGATAATAGTAAGTGCTGCAATAACAGCAGCTGAGTGAAAAAATCATATTTTTGGTCTGATAACTAGTAAGTTTCTGACAAAGAGGGAAAGATTTAAGGGAACAAGATTAATGGAACATTTCAGTGATATTCATGCAGATTAAGGTGGAACAAAACAACTCCTAGGTAAAAAAAAACTAAACCACAAATAAACTTGGATTATTTCAGTGATCCAATCTGAAGAGAAGACAAACAAATCTTTATAAAGGAGTGCAGGAAGGAAATTACAGTTAATGAGTGGGAAACAAGTAAGAACAAGCACATTTGAACAGGAATTTTCTTGGTGGCAAACCCATCTCAGGAAGTCTGGAAGTCTGTTTTCAGACATTTAATTGTCCAAGTCTGGGCTTTACCCCAGCCCTTTCAAAATGAAATAAAGAAAATAAATTATTTTAAAAAATATTGAGATGTATGGAAGTAGGATGAAATAAAATGAAATAAAGAAAATAAATTATTTTAAAAAATATTGAGATGTATGGAAGAGAGGGGGCCACATTTCCTTCCAGCAACAGGTATTGTTGCTATAACTTAGAGAAATTGTTGTTTAAAATTATTTTTGTAATTATCTTCTGAGGTAAGTCAGTGCAATTCTTGATTATTTCGAGGTATTAGTGAATGAAAATATTATAGTTACTTTTAGTATTTAAACATGGTGTCTTCTTTGACCTGTGTGCTGCAATCTTAAACATATGTCCACTTGCACTGAAAAATGCCTTCTCTTTTTTTTGGCATTTATATAAAGCACTCTTGATGATTAGGCAAATTAAAAAAATTCTGTGGGCTTTTAATGGACACTGATTTTTTTTTTCTTCAACAATCAGAAGCTCCCCACAAATAACTTAAGAAAAAGTTGACTAACAAAACAGCCACAGATTCCATTTTAATGGCACATTGCGAGTCAGGTTGCTGCATGATAGCCGCTGAACTAAAATGTTGCCTTCTGCAGTCATAAGTTCTGTGATGTTTTACAGCAGCTGATCCCTGGTGATTGATGCCTTTTGGATTGGAGAAAGAGAGTGACATCCAGCAACTGGTCAAGATGAGAGCAGTATGAAGACTGCCCAGGAAGAAGCCGTCGCTGCAGATAAGTGCTGCTAGTCAGACTTCACGCCCTAGCTTTCATTTTACACATCCTCCATGACAATATAAACGGCTCTCATGCCCAGTTTTATCTGGCCTTCTATCCCTGCGCAGTGGTTAGGAAAGGAAGCCAGGAAGAATAGCTGTGAGGTGTTCCTGCCTCTCAGCTGTGCTTAGCCCGATTTCGGCGCTGAGCACTTGCCAGGCAGCAGAGGCTGGCTGCTGCTGTGGGCCCGGGGCAGCAGGAGCAGCGCCGCCGCACGCGTCCGACCGCGAGAAGCCATCGCTGTGGGCCAGCATTCCCTGGAGGGACAGGCTCTTTGCGAAGGGCGGCCATCGCCTCAGACACGGCCAGCGCCACCTGCTGTCCGAGCCGCCTGCCGCAGCTCAGCCAGCCCGACCTTCACCGCGAAAACCAATCTCCGACAAACGCAGCAAAACACGGCACTGAAAGCTAACAGGCTGCTGCTCTTCTAGCGTTGTCCTTGAGCTCTCTCCAGTAATAACCCTTGGAGGAGGTGAAGAGTACACGGTAGTTCACCTGCACAAAATCCACTTGTGTATGCACACATGGAGGGAAGAGTGGTGGCTGATGGCGTGAACGAGCCAACACAGAAAAGAATATGTATTTTGCATGCATGATGTAATTCATACTAGCGAAAATAAAAGGTAAAAGGCAGCTGTGGTGTTTTGTTTTTTTCTTTTCTTTTTTTCTTTTTTTTTTTTAAAGCAAGAACTTCAAAAGTTCAGGCACTTTGCAAGTTTCCAGTCCAGACTTTCATAAATTGTGATGTTTTTACATTTACAGGTACATTGCTATTGAATTCACTGCTAGTATTCTCCGACTCATAAATGCATGGATCCATACCCTGGGTCTCTAGAATTCTTACATTAATCGGTTTAGATACTTTCTATAAAAGCTGATAGTTCTTGTTAACTCAATACTGAATTGGAATGATATGCAACTTTAATTCATAATATGAACAGATTTGCAATGATATGTGTATTCAGGCTAAAAACTAAAAAATCCCTTATTACTGTTTATATTGTTTGACAGTTACAGGTAAACATGTTTAAGACTTGCAGTATTTGCTATTGGTTATAAGCTGTAAAAAGAGTTTAATAGAACAGCTGCCATTATAGCTCAACTGGCAAAAATTAATTATCACAAACAAGAGAAAAATCACTTAAAAATACAACTTAACACATAGCAAGCATTTATAAAACGGTAAATATATTTCAGAGCAGAATGAGTAACTGAAAGATTGCTTTTCTGTCTTGGAGAAAGACTTTATATGAAAGATACAAGAAAGCTGCAAACAAGCTCTTCTGAGCCTATACCTACAATCCATTTTGTATCCTGACATATCTACACTGGCTACTTGGAACTCAAGATTTCATGTACAGGTCATCAGTATGTTTTTGATAATTATTATAATTTGCATAAATGCAAAGAAACTAATGCAGAATTATAGATTTAATTAATCTTCCTATACCCATCCCTTGTAAGAATGTAGGTTTCAAGACCTACTGAATTAAAAAAAAAAACAAATAAAACCCAATGCAGGCAGGAGCAATTTCAGAAAATTAAAACCCACTTCTGAAACAGATAGCTGCATTGTAGGATCAGCTTACTATACTAAATGAAGTAAAATATTAGTATGTACATAATTTTGGCAGTGAAAGGAGCAAACAATTGAATTCAGTCAATTTTTATTCTCCTGGGATACAAACTTCCTAAATTGCTAACTGAATTATTTTACAGTGAGAATGTAACCTATTACTAATATCCAGGTTGTATCAACATGCATAATAGGGTTTTTCCTGCCCTGTGAAAACTTGCTTTTCAAGCCACATGTTAGGTGACTTATATGATGCACAGTGGCTTACATTAGGCAGCCTGGTATCATGCATTATCTAGGTGCCATATATTATGATTATCTCTGCAAACAGCATGTGGGCAAAACAACCTTGTTTTAGTAATTGGTGTCTACCACTGCCAGTTGATTTGCCTATTGAGGAGTACAGTCTAAACAAAACCCAAGGTTTACAGAAATATTTATACAGCATCTCCAGTACTCATGTCAAATTTAACTTGGTTTTAAAATGTTAGCGATAATCTAAAAATTATTCTAATACTGTAGTAATGTAAGGGCTCTCAGTCACAGGTCAATAGGTATTAGCAGTGGTATTAGGTCTCAGGAGTTCTTTTACTTTTCACCACTTAGGTTCATACATCACAGTACCATTCTTTTTAAACAATATTATTTCCAAATGGATCATATCACTGCATGGCTCTTGAGCGCATACACAGTGACAGTGTCCTGCAAAGGCATCATTAGAGGGACTAAAAGTCCATTCCCCTTTTAGTGATTCCAGTTTACTCAGACCCAAACCCTTCTTTAGCTCTGTATAGGCATAAGCACATATGAAGGAGTTGCAAATACCAACCACTTGGATTCCTGAATATGTATGCTACATATTACATACTCCTCTGCTTTTTACTCTACTGGGAGGTCAACCTGCCAGAGCAACGTCACAGTTACTATAACAACTAGTACGAGCAACAAGACAGGAATAAAGAAGTGGTGTGTGATTGCTGCCAGTTGTATCTTCATCTGTGGCACAAATGCTCTTATGCCCTATGAAACAAGAAAACAATCTCACCAGAGACTGCCAGGTAAAAGAAAATGATAATAATAAAAAAAATACACTCCCCTCAACCCCTCTAACAGTTATACTCAAAGAATATGTTCCTTTATTTCTTAGGCAAACAGATAAATAGCAGTTACCTTGCTTCTTATTAATTTCCTTATTTCCCTCCAGGTGAACTCTAATACTGCAAAAATCCATGCATTTATTTCCTTCTTTAACACAATAAAAAGTGCACTGTCCTGAGACAGTTGAGTGGCTGAAATGTTTCCAGTAAACTGAGAAATTGCTTTGAAGTTGATTTTAATTTGTTGTTGCTGAACTTTGATACAAAGTCTCTTTTTCATGTAATTACACCTCTCACTTAAGGGGCAGATTGGAGAAATAGACAAATGTAACTACACATTTTCCCAGTTTTGTGGAAAACAAACCTGAAAGAGAAGTCTCAGTTTAAGGTACTCTCCCATTCTATTTTCAACAAGCTCTATTATGTTTCCTATTAAAAAACAAACAAACAAAAAAAAACCCCAAACCCAATAAAAAGCTCCAAAACCAAAGAGTGAGGAACAAGCTGCTGAAAAAAAACCCCAAGATCTTAACAACTGTATTTATGAGACAGACAACAACACAATCAAAAGCTCCAAAACCAAAGAGTGAGGAACGAGCTGCTGAAAAAAACCCCAAGATTTTAACAACTGTATTTATGAAACAGACAACAAAAAATACTGTTACTCCTCTGAGAAGTTTTTTCTTATGTTAACTCCATATTTTAATTAATTTGGGCTACTGCTTACAGGTGAATGCTTTTGAAAGATTTAGGCAATGTTTTTCGCTCTAGTTTGTGAACACCTGTTTTCTGCTGAGCTTATCAAAAGCTCAGCAAAAAGTAATCAAAAATTGAAGTCTACTGGCAATACAACTATTTGCTGTATAGGAATACACACCTTAATTGCAAACTTGTCTGTGGCTTGAAAAATCCAAAAGACTGAACATTACTATGAGGTTTCATCTTTTTCTAAAATAACATTTTAGAAACATTGAAACATTTTAGAAAAAGTTACTGTGAAAATCAAATTAATTGTTAACCATCTTTTTAAATTACAGTGAGCAACCTTGTGGCTAACTTTTGCTTTCACCTGATTGTGTAAACACTTGTACAGTTTCAAAGAATTGGCAAGGTGGCTGTGCAAAGTAATAGAAGGCTTGGAGAGATGGTTGTTTCTTCCCACACAGAGTGAAACTTCATGTGGGCATTACTATTAATGCCTCTGTTACTTCAGAAGTGGAGCTGAAGTAACTCTGTCTACATTCATGAGTGCCTAAGGGAAACTCCCTGTTTGCAAACTACACACTGTGGATGAAGACACAATAGTAACATTTTAATTATTAATTTTAAGCCTTTTTTTATCAAATAAGATGAAGCAATTTTAAGGTGTCTCCATTAAGCTTAAATTTCTCTAGCAGGCTAATTGGTATGCTTAAGGAATTCACCCACTGAAATGTGAACCAGATATTTAAGAATTACTTGATTTTATTATTCGACAAGGAAAGAGGGTTACCCTTTTCCACAATGCTGGAGAATCCTTTCCACTTTTCTTCACCATAAACATTCTTGGCATCATAATCCTTCATATTAACTTGTCTTATAGATATTCTATTTCATTTGTAAAAGTTCCTGTCTTTTTAGCATTTAAAGCTGTATTTTTTTTTAAACTTACATAGGGTTTTATATTCATCTAGATTATTTTGACTAAGGAAAAAAAATTGCTGTAGTTAATTATAATGAAATAATATTTCATTCACATAACTAAGGTGTAAATAGGCCTGCTCCCTACTGCTTTTGATAAAAGTTATACATCAAGGTAATTCTGAGTCTAATGTAGATATAAAACTACAGTGTAATGTTCCCCAAAGAAAATTTGAACCAAAAAAATCTGCTGAAAATACAAGAATGAGCCCATAACTTTAATCTGACACAGAAGACCAGCCTGGTATTGGAAGAAAATACATTTCAATAAGGCAGTAGTGTAATTTAGGGTGGTGGTAAGGAACAATAAGTTACAGACTGGAAAAAAACATCACTCCACAGCTCAAAGAAAGGTCTCTCTTGTCATAAAATAAAACTGATACAGTGTTTTGTAAATGACAAACATTGAATCAAATCTGCATTGGTGGATGAAAGAAAGTTCTTCAGAATGCAGCATATTCAAATAAACCGCATGTACACATTCTTGCCCATACCTGACAAACTCAACGCATTGGTATGAAGTTTACATAACTATTTCACTTACTTCAAGGAAATTGCACAGCCTGAATACAAGTGTCCACGGAAAATACTACATAAGAAAGAAGACCTGCATCTTTAGAACTAAGGATGTTTGCTAGCTAAAGTGGCAATCCAAACTTTCTGCTCTCCCACAAGCCATTGGAACTGTGCTTGGAGAAAGTTAAAAACAAGTCATTCCCGTCCAAATTGTCAGATGACATGACTGATGACTAGAAACAGTAACTTTTTTCAACAGTAAGTAATGCCTCTACAATTAGCAAAAACTCAAGTTAATATTCTTCTCTGGACCCACGTTATCACAAACTGCCCTGCATGAATTCCACTGGCAGGCATGGCAATGCGTGGCCAAGTAAGTACTTGGGCAGCTCGCAATTTACCTACAGAATCCTAGCTCTTACTAAAATCTGTTTCCATGTGTGATGATAAAAATTCATCAGAGCTTTCAGTAAAATTCAGCAGGGGACACCACAAAATACCCATGAGCTAACATCAAGTGCCTTGATGAGTTTAGTTCAGCTCTTTGGAACAGCAGTGTCCAAATCACGAAATTTGAAGAACTTCCACATAATCAGCACATTGTCCAAACTACGATCTTTTATGACCCGGTTATTTATAAGCATATATATAAACAATTTCCTAAACAACAAGTTTAACAAGGGCAGCTAGAGAGAGCGAGCTCCATCTTCCTTTTATAGTAAGCGTGAACAGACTGTGCTTCCCAGTTTCAACAGATGGTCGAACACGTGTGGGTGCGTGTCCATTTTTCTTTTAAACTAATTGCGAGCAGGCTTGTAAATTACCACCACGACCCACGGGTACCTATGTATCCTCCAGGTACCGATGGGCCGGGCCGGGCAGGGCGGCGCTGACCCTTTCTTTCCACACGCACCTTTTCCGTGCCAGTGGGTCACGCTGGGGTGGAAGGAACAGCTGCTCCTGCCTCCAGCGCCCGTCCTTACAGAATTCCCACACTGAGCTCAAGGTCCCCCCTCTGCCCCTCCAGATATCCCCTCGGAATATCCGCCTGGCGCCGTGGGAGAGGAAGGACAAGGAGAAGGGCGTGCGTCCGGGGCCCGAGGGACTCTCGGCCTCTTACCACGTACCATCTCGATGATCTTGGTCTTCTTACCCGTCTTCTTCTTCATGGTGAAGATGTACTGCGCCAGCACCACCCCGCCCACCAGCGCGCACACGCTGGCGCTCGCCACCGCTCCCATCTTGGCCACGGCGGTCCTGTCCATGATAGTAGTTCCCGGGGCGCCGGGAGCCGCTGCGGGGAAGCGCGGCTGCGCCCTTCGGTGTGGGCGAAGGAGCGGGATCGCGGCGGGTCCCCCCTGAGCGACCGCCGGGTCGGCAACGAAACCGCCGCACGCGCCCCGCCGTCCCGGCCCCTCGCCGGCCGTACCACGCCACAGGGAAAAGGGGGAGGGAAAGGGTGGCCGCGCGGGTGGAGCTGGGCGCCTCGAGAGCAAGAGGTTCCCGTGAGGGGTTTGAAGAAGAAAAAAAGCAAGCCGTCGAACGCTTAGGGTAGTTTGTTTTTTATTTTCCTCCTCTAAGAAAAAGCTAAAGAAGTGTTTCTCTTTGCTCTTCTCCCCCAAGTAGAGGAGGAATGCGAGAGCCCAACGGCCCATGGCGCCGCTTCCCAAACTACATTTCCCAAGCTCTCCCCTGGGCGGGGCGTGGGGCGGTGAGCGGTTGGTGCCGGCGGTGGGGAGAGGAGGATGCTGGAGATGGCGGCGGTGGTGGGAATGCGCCTGTAGCCCTGCTGCTCTGTGCCTCGCCTCGGGCCGCGACTGAGCGAGGAGCTCCTGTGAGGAAGCAGGGCTGCCGCCCCGGGGCGGTTCGGACTGCGCCGTGCCAGGGAGCTGTCGCCTCCCGCCCAAGTAAGCCCCCGCCGGGCTCAGTCTCCCTTCTCCGGCTCCACGGGGATGTATGTCCGTATGTGTCCGTGTGCCAGGCTCGGTGTAGGTGCTGTGTGTGCTGCTCAGGGACTCTGAGGGAGGGCAGGAGGGAGTGAGAGGGCGCGTGTGAGGGCTGGGCTGTGCCGTGCCAGCCCGCACTCGGCGGCAGCAGGTTGCCTAGCGGGCATAGCGACGGGAAAAAGCTGGAAAAGACGTGGTTTTGTTTGTCGGACTTGGTTTCCTTCAGAGAGGAGAGGCGCGGGTTTGCAGGGATTTGTTCCGAATCCCGGGTTTTGCCCTTGCTCCCGCTGGAGCTGCGGGTGCACGGCAGCCCTCGCCGCCTGTGTGGGATCGGCTGTGTCCCGGTGCACAGGCACGGAGCTGTGAGTTTTGAGCTAGGATAATGTTATTGTCGAGCTGCCCGCAAAGGGATTAGTCTCCTCGCTCCTTCCCTCCCCCCTTCTTAAAATAACATCAGGTAGGGAGCAGAAAAGCTGATTTGTGCCCTGTATGACCGAGTTCTTTAGTCGTGTCACTGGAGCATCTTCAAGGCGATTATGCGGTGGAAGTTTTGATATCGTCTGTTTATGTCTCCGTTTACTTGTCTAAAAATAATGTCTCTTGCAGAAGACTTGCATCAGAATGTTTTTATTTCTTTTTGTTGGTACTCCTTGGTGAGAGAAGAGAACTCAGTTCTGTGACTTTAAAACTTTTTATTACTTAGTGCTTGTAACAAAAGGCATTTAACATTTAACCCGTTTACTTGTCTAAAAATAATGTCTCTTGCAGAAGACTTGCATCAGAATGTTTTTATTTCTTTTTGTTGGTACTCCTTGGTGAGAGAAGAGAACTCAGTTCTGTGACTTTAAAAACTTTTCATTACTTAGTGCTGGTAACAGAAGGCATTTAACATTTAAGTTTTTAAAAGTCTGTTATTTTGTTGCATTTTCTTTATATGTCTAGCAGCATCTGTCACATCTAATTCAACTAATGACTGTAAAATTCCTGAGGTTGTTTTCTGAACTGTATAACCAGAAACTCCAGACACCTGGAATTAACATTTATTTAGCTCACACTAGGGCAATGTGAATTGGAGAGGTGTAATATACTTAAGGAAACCTGTTGCTAACAAAGAAAAAGTTTTTTGTATAAACAATTGCATTTATTAGTATAAACTTTAACAATTGTTTGTTTCCTTTTCAGTAAAGAAGAATGTCCTTGTTTAAAGCTAGAGACTGGTGGTCCACCATACTTGGAGAAAAGGAAGAATTTGACCAAGGCTGTCTGTGTGTTGCTGATGTTGATAATAGTGGCAGTGGACAAGGTAAATTCAGACTTAAAATTGCTGGCTTTTAAGCCACCCAGCTGTAGGCTTGCTTTGACCAATGCATGCTGAAAGCTTGTTAGCCAGGCTAGTTGGCTAGTTAGTTTTAGGTCTGCTATCTTTAATGTGTCCTTGTAGGCTCAAGAAGATAAATTGAGTGCTCTCTATCTTTTTATATTTGTATGCTGCTAAATATGTTAATTCTTGCTTGTGTTCACTAGTAACTTCTCTCATGTCTTATTCCTTCAATGGTAGATATCATTAAAATAAAGAATTTTCGGTTAGTCATGGGAGGAAACACATTGTGACTTCTAAAAACCTAAGAGGAGAAAAAAGGATGGTGAAAGTGAAAAAGTTAATAATTTAGAAAAACAAATAAACAACCCTTTTGATCTGGGATGTAAGTGACTCTGTTTCAGGAAACCCTGCGTTTTTGTGTAGTCATTAATAATGTGAAATGGTCTTTGCTGTCAGGGAGGGATTTTATGTATTTAAAAAAATTAATAAATTCTTGGTGTCTTTATGATATCATGCTCACCTTGGAACTTTGTTTTTGCCTGTCTTTTAAATACCACCAGGGGTGGTGATTCAGCCACTTCCCTTGGAAGTCTCTTCTAATGCTTCACAACCCTTTTGGTGAAATATTTCCTGATATCCCATCTAGGTTTCACAGCCCCTGCTGCATCTCTAAGCCCTTCACTGGCTTTGTTGGCCTTTTCTGGCTGTGCTCCACCACTTCCATGACTTCCTTGTAGTGAGGGGCCCAAAACTGAATACAGTTGCCATATAGGATGCAGTACAGGATGCCATTAGCCTTCTTGGCCTCCTGGGCACATGCTGGCTCATGCTCCAGCTCCTGTCAACCATCACCCTAGGTACTTTTCTGTTGGGTAGCTTTCCAGCCACCTTTCCCCACTCCTGTTGTGTTGCATGGGGTTGTTGTGACTGAAGTGAATGACCCGGCAATTGGCCTTGTTGTACCTCATACGATTGGCCTCACCCCATTGTTCCATCCTGTCCAGATTATGCCACAGAGCCATCCTACCTTCCAGCAGATAACCCTCCCACCCAACGTGGTGTCATCAGCAAACTTACTGAGGGGGCACTTCATCCCCTCATCCAGGCTGTTGATAAAGATAATAAACAGGACTAGCCCCAGTACTGAGCCTTGGGGAATGTTACTTGTGACCAGTCACCAGCTGGATGTAACTCAATTCACCACCACTCTCTGGGCTCAGCCACCCAGCCACTTTTCTACCCAGTAAGCAATATACCTGTCTAAGCTGTGACTGTCCAGTTTGTCCAGGAGAATGCTGTGGGAAATGCTGTCAAAGGTTTACTAAAGTTGAGGTAAACAACATACACAATCTGTCCCTTTTCCATTAAGATGGTCACCTTGTCACAGAAGGAGATCAAGTTGGTCAAACAGAACCTGCACTTTGTAAATCCTTGCTGGCTGTGTTTAATCCCGTGGTTGTCCCATACAAGCTGCATGATGGCCCTCAAGATGATATGCTCCATGACTGTCCTGGGTACTGAGATCAGGCTGACTGGCTTGTAGTTCCCTGGATCCTCCTTCTAACCTTTTGTGTGTATGTAGCAAATGTTTGCTAACTTCCAGTCAGCTGGGAGCTCCCTGGTAAGCAGGACTGATGATAAATGATGGAGAGTGGCTTGGTGGGCACTTCCACACTGTGTTCCTGGGTGGATCCCAGCTGGCCCCATAGACTTGTGTTTGTGTCTAATTAATGAAGCAGAATGCTGACCATATCCCCTGCTTTATGGGAGCCTCATTCTGCTCCCTGTTCCTGTCTTTCAGCTCAGGGGCTGTGTGTACCCTGCTTTATGGGAGCCTCATTCTGCTCCCTGTTCCTGTCTTCCAGCTCAGGGGCTGTGTATATCCAGAGAACAACTGTTGCTCTATTGAAGACTTAGCCAAAGGCAGTACTAAGTACCTCAGCCTTTTCCTCATCCTTTGTCACTATATTTCCCCCCATATCCAATAAAAAATAGAGATTCTCCTTGGCCATCCTTTTGTTGCTGATATATTGATAGAAACATATTTAGTGTTTTATGTCCTAGTTGGATTTTGGCCCTTGTAATTTTCTTCCTGCATAACCTTATGATTCAGCTGATTCAGCCCCCCTGATTCAGCTGCCCTTTCTTGCAAAGGTCATATCTCCTCTTTTTCCTGAGTTCCAGCCAAAGCTTGTGCAGCCAGGATGGTATTCTTCCCTGTGAACTTGTCTTTTGGCACAAGGGAATGGCCTGGTCCTGTACCCTTTTAGACTTCCTTTGTTACAAATGTTCAACCTTCCTGGGCCCCTTTGCCCTTCAGGACTGCCTTCCAAGGGACTCTGTCAACCGGTCTCCTAAATGGGTGAAAATCTGCCCTCAGGAAATCTATGACAGCAGATCTGCTGTTCTCCCTCCTTTCTTTAAGAATTGAGTATAACATTTCGTGATTGTTGTGCCCACTACAGTCTCCAACCATCATATCACCTACAAATCCTTCTCTGTTCACAAACAGCAAATCCAGTGGGGCACCTTTCCTAGTTGGCTCCTTCACCAGTTGTGTAAGGCAATTATCCTTTATACACTCCAAGAATCTCCTAGGCGGTTCCTCTCTGCTGTGTTATATTTTCAGCAGACTGGTAACTTGAAGTCCTCCACGAAGAGAGCAAGGGCTGGTGATTGTGAGACTTCTTCAAGCTGCTTATAGAATATTTTGTTGCCTCTTTGTCCTTGTTGGGTGGTCTGTAACAGACTCCAACCATGACATCTGCCTCATTGGCCTTTTCCCTGATTCTTACCCATAAACACTTAACTCCATTGCTGCCATCACTGGTGCTGACAGATATTCACATATCTGCAAAAAATGTAATTGCTAAAGTTAAACTAGAAGACAGAGCATAATGAACATTAATTGAATAATGTCAGCATTCTGTCTTTTTAGGGTATTATTTGAAGCACTCTGCAGCGCACTGAATTCCACGTGTGCATGCTATTGTATTGTGTAGTATCCTATGTGCTGTTTTTGTTTGTTTGTTTTTTAGATAAAATTATTGTGGGCAGTTATAATGGATATCTCCGAATCTTTAATCCACATCCTGTGAAACCTGGAGATGAAGTACAGCCTGAAGACTTGCTCTTGGAAGTGCAGTTGCGAGAACCAAT